CAGTACCAGTAGAGCTATTGATGCTTTTTCCCCTTCCATTTGGAGCAAAAGAAAACAACAGGTAGAGGACAAGGATGTTGAGAGCTGCTTAATCTTTGTCCTTCCTTATCTCTTCTGAATAGGATGTCTCTTTCGGGGGAGAGTTCATTTCTTGCTACAGCATCTTGTACAGTGTGAAGCTGATTTAATCTTAACCTGCTCCAACATTATCCACAAAAGCTGCACAAGGTAGAGCCAGTTTCTTGGTGAACTGGAACAGGTCATTGAAAAGTGAATGGAAGAGGTAAAAAAAAGAAAAAAAAAAAAAAAAAAAAAAAAAAAAAAAAAAAAAAAAAAAAAAAAAAAAAANNNNCCAGAATAAAAGACTTCCTGTCAGTCTAAAATAACTAGATACTTATGCAGGTGTATGAATGAAAGTGTTGCCCAGCCCTTGTTCAAATTCAGTAGGCTGGAAAGTTAAATTGCTTTTCAAAGGCATGTCACAGTGTTAAAGGACAAAGGTTCTTGTGCACTTGAAGTACAGTGATCCATGGCTCTTTGTAGGAATGGTGACCACAGCACAAACTGCTTCAAATTGGCAAACACAGCTAAATATTAATGACAGCAGCATTGGATATTGCTGTTCAAGAGAAAATACAGAATATGGGAAGTGGTAAAAATGGACAGCTGCTGAAAGCAAAGCACATTCCATAATCCACATATGAAGAAACATGCTGAGGTGAAAATCTGCTATGAATACGCTTGGAAATCAGTCTGATTCACTTGGAATAGACAATACAGATATATGTGTCAGTGTGGACTGTACCAAGTGTTCAGACATCAGGATCCCATTTCCCAAAATCATAAACCTGTATTTTTTTAAAAAAGCCCTAAACTAAATAAATGTTTGCGTTTGTTATATTTTACTTCTAATGCTGTCCTTAGCTTCTGTCTTCTCACATCATTCACAACATTCCTTCAGACTGAGACTCCTACATAACTCCCTGAATCCAGAAGCTGGAGCACAAAGTAAGAGCAAACAGACAGCTATTATGAACTGCTACAGACAGCAGTGTGATTAGACATGAATATAGGTACATCTTTGTTAGCATGTAATACAGAATAATCAGATAGAACAAGCTAAATCAGATGTCTTCCAAAGCCCAGAATAATAGGGAAATAATAGTTGCTCCAAGATGAACCAGGAACTTTATCTGTATACTCAAGCAGGAAAAAAGTACCATTTTTCAATGCCATAAAAAGGAAGCAGAAAGTAAACTGATAATATTCACATATGGAAGTTACTGAAAACTCCAACTGATCTGTAGGCTGGGTCATTTAGTACTTGAAAAGCCAGCTACCCACTGACACATGAAAGAAAGCTCTAAAACATGAACATTAGTGTCAGGAAGCTTTTGAAGACATCTTCAATCTCAGAAAGAAAGGCATTTCCCAATCTGAAATGCAGCATCTGTGGGTTTTGCCACCTAAACTCAGATTATTCAGGCTCTAAGATAGTGATTTATTTGGATGTTATACATTTAAATGAAGACCATTTGGCATTCATTCTGTCCCCAAAGTGCTTCAAAGAGCTAACTAAACTGATTTTTGAGGGATTGCAAAGTGATGACATTTTAATTTTATTAATCTTGGATGAAATTTTAATTTAAATAGAGGCCATAAAACAGTGCAATGAAATACTGTTGGGTTTTTTGGTTTTGTTTTTGTTTTGTTTGTTGTTTTGTACTGACATAGACAAAGTCTCATAACATTAAGTTTTTAATAGTACATAATAGTCTGGAAAAAGCTATTTGTAGGGTCTGCTCAGCTACTTTCAACAGTGACTGAGTAAAAGAAAGGCATAGTTAAATGTATATCTCATAATGACACAAGGAGCATATAATCACTAAGAGACTGATAAAGCCATGGAAGCTCCTCTAAAGAGAAATAGAGCATTTCATATGCTCTGCTCAGCATAAAGCAGATTTATCAGAAACAGGTAGTTGACTTAATCTAAGGTCAGCAGAGGATATTTTGCAGTTTGAAACATGGAGAAGACATTGTGTGTTCCAAAAGCCTACATTCTAGAGCTATAGTAGAAGTAACATATACTACACAGGCAAAACCCAGTTCATATTAAGAGATGATTTTACATCCCTAATATAAGCCAACAAATTTATCTTGTTTTGCAGTGCAGGGAATATGAGCATAATTCTCTATTAAGGTCAAAGAGCAAAGGAAGACTATGCACCTCTGTCTGCATGAGTGTGGCAGGTGTTGGTTGTACCAGAGCCACCCAGCAGGAACAGGACAGAAGCTGAAATCACCATGTCTGGTAAGACCAAACAATGCCTCCAGAATGCAGTCAGGAGAAACAGCAGCAATCATGCCCTGAGAAAAGCTGCCAGATCCTGTTAAAAGGAGATGAAGAAATGTAATGTATTAATTATAGGTACATGATTTCACTAAGTGTTAAAAACCCCATAGCCTATGTTAGACCGTGATCTTTGGCAACAGATCCAAGCCTGAGGAATACGTCAAACCATAAAGTGTGCATCCATTTAACCTCTGAGACTGTGCATGCAGTTAAAGAAAGTGCCTTGCTTTCCCTCTTCAGCAAAGTGACCCCTGTGTGCTCATTAAATTTTATTCTGCAGGTAATTGCTGACTAAAATCACAGCAAGTCTGCACCCAGCCTTGCTGGTCAAAGGAGGAGTTGCCTGCATTACGGGTCCTTGCTACTGAAGGTATTTAATAAGAAGAGACTCCGATTTTCTGAGACACCTACATAACTGAGAATGGTATTAATTGGCACAACAGAAATGGAAATGAGGTGGTAATGGTTTACTTTTGAGGTAGAAAAGGGGCTCTGTGTTCCATAAACAGGATAATGCATCAGTGCAGCTTCTATCACACTATTTTGTTGAACATGTTTTGCAGTGTTGGCCAAAAAGATGTTTTTCCGTCAGACGTCTGCATAAGGCATTTTATGAGGTTACAGTGTTCTGACACAAAGCATGTGTAACAATGTATTAGGTGTTCCCAGTAAATTATGTTTAATCAGTAGAATAAGCTGTCTTGAATATACTGTGTGATATGAAACCATGAACAGCTTACACAGAACCTGTAAATTGTATTTTAGGGGCTGAAATATAAGAGTGTTTGACTGATGAAGTATTTTGAAAATACTTTCCCCATGGCATTGGCAGCTATCATTTATCTCACTCTGACCAAGATGAAGATAATATGCATATACAAGCAGTAACAACTTTTCTGCTGACTATAATATTCTTTATTGTTCTTTTCAATTTCAGCAATAGGCTATTAACTCATGGCTTGTTCAGCTTCTTCACAAAGCTACAATAACCTCTTTGTAACTTTGTGAGCTTTCACACAACTGTAAGGACAAATCTGGCAAGGCTGAGCAGGTTCAATTTTCCACCAGCTATAAACAGAAAACAAGAAAATGTGTTCTTGTTGGAGAAGTGTTTTGCATCACATATCCAGTGACTGTCCCTCCAAATCAATTTTAAAAAATAGCTCATTAAAGGGAAAACTAGGATTGAGACGTGACATGCTGAACAAACAGTAAATGGTTAATGCTCCCCAGCTCTGAAGCCAGGAATAGGCACCATGTAAGTCCTGTCCAGAAAAATGTATTAGCTGCACTAGCGGAAACTGACACAGGATGCTGATATCCATCCAGGGAGGGATTCAGAAGAGAAGGAACAATAAAAGACAGGCATTGAGGTGACATCTGCAGAGGCTGGAGAACAATTTCCAGAGAACCGCTGTCTTTTAATACACAGAGGTTTAACTGTTATTGGTCCCTATTATATGAGAAACAATGAGAGCCATTTGTATCCCTTTCTCCCTGCAGGACATGTCTGAGGGAGAATAAACCTCTTTCCTCCTCCAGTGTCAGCTTGTTACCGGCAGCACTGGTTATAATTGAATAAGCTTTATTCAAATGATAGCTAAATTTAGCAGATATTAGCATGAAGTCTCTAGAGGGGTGAAAACTGGAGAAGAAAGCTTTAAACAAATAGACTAAAGTAACCCTGAATAATATATGCAATTTATGGCAGAGTCAATTTCTCAGTCTGATGAGTCTAGCACAGTTAAATCTGGATTTTGGGGCTTTGCTGAGACAAAATAAGACACCATACCCTTTCCTCCTGGCCTGTGATGGCAGGACCTCTTGTCCACAAAATCAGATTCATTATCCAGTGTGCAACAAGCCAATAATTACACATGTAGGAGAGACTTGATTATTTATTTCAGGGTTATGTGAGCCCAGGTGCTCAGTGACATCCCCCAAACCAAGCACACCCACCAGACTTTCCACACCATCATTTATATGCAGAAGTTTAGGGTTTGTAACTTTCCCCTGTGTTGTGATGAGTTAGTAGGAGTAATTACATAACCCCAGTTAATTTCTGTGTGGGCTCAGGGAGAGGGCCTTCACCTGGCCAGGGGTCTTTTTGACCTTTCAGCATGACTTTTAGTATTATAGGGAACATACATGGACCTTGAGTATTTTGCAAAGTTAGCAGTACATACATACGTCAACATCTTGATTTACTACATCCTTAAAGGTTGTTAGTTCCAGGATATCCTTGAGTAAGGGATACAAATTGCTATCTGTTCTGATACAGAACATCCTGACTTACTACATCCTTAAAGTTTGTTAGTTCCTGGATGTCCTTGACTAAGGGATGCTGGCTGCTGCCTGTTACACCGATTAAGTCTTTTTTTCTTGCTGATTAGCACTGAAAGTATTGAAAAATCTTGCATCATCCTGACTTAAGATAATCTTGGTATTCACCCAATCTAGCCCCAGTCAGGGTCACCTAGAGCAGATGACACAGGACCACATCCAGATGATTTTTAATGTCTCCGGACACGGAGCCTCCACGAGCTCGCGGCGCAGCCTGTTCGGGCGCTCTGCCGCCCTGATTTGGGGGGAAGCTCCCGTGTTTCAGCCGCTGCCGCCCCGCTGCCGCCCTGAGGGCGGGGCGCTGCGGGCGGAGCGGCCATGGCGGCGTCGCTGCTGCGCCGCGGCCTGGAGCTGCTGGAGCCGCCGGCTGGGCCGGGTGAGCGCCGGGGCCGTGCGGGCGGGCGGAGCGGGGCTCCCGGCACGGCTGCGGTGCGGTGACTCCGTCCCTTTCCCGTTGCAGGCCGGGCGAAGGCGCCGCCGGGGCTCCGGCGAGGCCGGGCCGGACGCGGGGCGGCGGGCGCGGCGAGGCGGAGGAAGAGGGCCCCGGAGCCCGGCAGGAGCAAGGCCACGGTCAAGGGCAGAGTCGTGAGGTCGGCGATAGGTGAGTCCCGACACCTCCACAGCCCTCGTGCCGCGGACCCTTGAGGTGTCCCGTAGCCACGCTGCCGGTTGCTGTATCCATTCAATTCAACGCAATCCATCCTCTCCCATCCCCGTCCCGTTCTCCTGCATGCCCTCTTGGTGTCGCTCACTTTAAATACAGCCTCATTTGTGGGCGCACCTCTATCCCTGAGCTGTAGTGGTGTCTTTCTCCCGGGGTTTTGCTGATCCTTCTGTGTGTCTCCTTGTGAGCTGCCTGGATGAGCAGCTGATGTGTTTTCTCGATTTCTGCTTTGCCTCAGAGGAGTACCATAAGAAGAAGCCTGTGAATCACTTGAGAGAAAACCTGAAGTACATGTTAAAGGGACGGCTTGTTGCAAACAAAGCTGTCACAGAACAAGTAAGACTGTGATTTCTGTTTGGGATGGGGGGTCTGTTTCCACTGAGGAACACAGGTGAATGAGAATCATCCCTGGATCTTCCAGATTTATACCTTGCACAAGAGAGTCAAGTTAAGTTTCTGTCTACTGATGACCTTGAGGAATTTCTATGTGCCCTGGCAAAATAACTTAGTAAGCTTTAAACTGTTGTTGATATATTGCTCCCTGTGTTGTTTTCTAATACTAGTCAAAATCACAGAATCGTAGAACAGTTTGGGTGGGAAGGGACCTTAAAAGATCATCCAGATCATCATCCACCCTGCCATGGGCAGGAATGCCACCCACTACATCAGGTTCCTCAAAATATCCTGACAGCTGTTGGCTTTTCTTAATTACCAAATATGTATTTCATAGTTTCAGCTGGCAGAGATGCCCTGGTTCAGACCTTCTCATTACTGTTCATCAAACTGGCCTTCTCTGTAGCAGGAGGCTGACTAATGAGGAAGCAGATCTGCTGCTAGCTCATCTAATAGGAATTACTCAGCTTCCTAAATGGTGTTTCTCATAACTTGAGAATTTCTTGAATGGTCTTCCCCAAAAGGTAGTCTCATGCCAGGATTTGAAGAGAAGAATAGTTGACAGTGCTAGAATCTTGAGCTGTTATTATGAGATATAGGCTGTTAACTTACATAAACAAAGTGGTTTAGGCCAGTGTTTCTCATGCTAGAGATTGTGACAGTGTATTAGAAAATGCTGAGGGAATTCCACAAGTTTGTTGGGTTTTTGGTTTGTTTCACAGAGGGAGGGAATAAAAAAGAAGGTCATAGTTTCAGAAAGTTCAGATTGAAATCCATGTTCTTATCTCTGTCCCAATTAACTAGAAAATAGTTTTCATGTTTGACTTCAAATAACAAGTTGGTATCTGCTGTTGTCCCAGTGACCTCTTCTGGTTAACATCAGTAGTTTGCCTCTCACTTTTCTTTGGAGGCATTTTGGGAAATAGCAGGGTTCTTGTAGAACAGCAGGGATGCTGCAGGTGAGCTTGAAAATCATTGTTTTGTGATTTGGTCTGGATAACAATGACTGTTTTTTTTTCCATTTCTATATTATCTGAAGGTTCTTGCTCAGAACAGAGGCAGGAAGTCCAAAGATCAGCCTCCAGAGAAGACAGAAAAGAAGAAGCCTGAAGGCACTGTGTTTACTGAGGAAGATTTCCGTAAATTTGAGAGGGAATACTTTGGGATCCCATAAACATCGTGACAGGGATTCTTGCAGCTCCAGTTTTTCTGCAGTTTCTCCAGTCTGGCTCTCAGGCCTGGGCATTTCCTTGGCATGTTTGAAATGGCACATGGGGGATGTACCTCTGCCAGTAAGTGCCTCTGTGTCAGACTTGCAGAGCAGCTCTGCTTCTGGGCAGAGCTTGTTACTGGCCAGCTAAAGCCACAGAGGTGCTCTTGGCTCTGACATGTGTTGTCCTTATAATTATCCTCCTGCAGCCAGCATGTCTTGCATTCTTGATGTAGGAGGGTGGACCAAGGCAAATAAAAATCATTTCCCCTGCCTCAGGGTATAAGGCTCCTGCTATCTGTATTATTTGGCAGGGAGCATTGAAAGTACTGTATCTGAATGGAGAAATGTTTTGGACCAGCATTAAGAAGGGAAGGATGCTTTGAAAAACTGTTAAACTCAAATAACCCTGAAGTTTGGGTCTTGATTACTGCCACTGTCAGGCCTGTCAGTCATTGCAAAAACTTTTTATATGTCGTTTGATTAAATAATTGTTGCAGACACTGTCTCTTTGCCTTTGTCACAAAGTGATTTTTATGACAGGTGATGAAGATGAACCATGTAACTGCTATGATCCAGGCATTCCTCTCTTTAGGATGACTCAGTTATGTGAATGGCCTCTCCAATTCATGTTAACACATATATAAACCATCTCTCTGACATGCTTAGGCATTCAAAGAGTGCAGGTTGGAATGGAGATGACTCCTCCATTTTGGCTACTCACAATCTTCCCTTTCTCCAAGGAAGAGCTCTCACACAGAGAAAGTTGTCCTTTGAATGTTTATAGCTGAGTGTCCCTCTGAGATTTATCCATGCCATCAAGGCACCACTGTTGAGTGTAGCCAGGTCCTGTAGCCAGGAGAGCTTGTGACCCAGATGTTAGTCTTGGCATCAAATTAAAATATGAGCATGAGCTTGTGGGTGCTGGGTTGAAGGGAAGTTGTTTTCTCTCAGACCAGCACTAAGTAGCCAGCTGTAAGAAACAGAAGGCCCTGCAGGTGGGAGTGTTGTTCCAGAAACTTCCTCACTAAACAACTTTAAATGTGCTTGGGTGGCTCTGCCACTGCCTTATCCTGCCCCTTACCTAAAAAAGATGGAAAATGTGTTCCCTTTCTTTCCCCTTGGAGAAAAAGCAAAACAGGTAAGGAGAAAGACTAATGCCAAGCTTTGGTTAAGCTCAGGAGTTGATTACAAGAGGCCTGTCTGACCTGAGCAGCAGCTGCATGATGCCAGCATGGGCAGGAATTCACTTATCCTTTCCCTACCCTCCAATAATAGTTCCTGGTGCTGTGCTTTTAACTCTGTCCCTCCTCTGTTGAGTTCTTTTCCTGTGTCTGCATAGGATGAAAGGTAACTTGGATATATGAGATCCAGACAGGGGAAATAAATAGTGAACATACTGAAGTGTGTGTACTGGAATTGGGTAATAGCACGTGTGAGGGGATTTATTTTAATAGGATCAGGTTCAACTATCTGCAGCCAGAAGTGGTAAGTATGGAACAGTTCAAAAAACAATTCCCTTTTTTTAGTTTGTTCTTACTTCCAAAAATTAAAACATAAAAAAAAAAAAGCTTCTTAAAAGAATGGAAGCATTATTGTTTGAAGAAATAATTGAGCAAAATGTGTATTCAGTACATGTCTACCTAAAACTTCTGCACTGTGTGCCTGCTGCGGTACATGTGAGCTGGTCTAACACAAGCAGCTCTTTGTGGAGCTGTCATGAAGATAATTATTTGAGTGAAAAAGCTGGCTGTGCTACAACTTGAGTGAAGGAGGTAGGTTTCTGGGGTGTTACTTTGTTTTAAGTTTTCATCTTCAGTATTTGGCATTTCCTATAATCCTACAGAAGTTCTTCATGTCCTTTCCTGCTCCTCCTCTACCCGTTCCTCCTACACATCCTTGTTTCTGTCATTGTTCAGCTTCTGAGCCCTTCTCCCACAGACTGAAGGAAGCAAAACCATCCTTCCTTGTTCCAGAAAAGGGCAGGAGGGTAATGTGGTTCACTCTCTTTGTGCAAAACCGAGCCTGTTTGTTTGCAAATGTAAGCAACAGGAAAGCTCTTCTTTCAAAGTTAATGAGGAACTTTCAAGTGAGGCCCAGAGCAGTTCTCATGGGGATAATAACACCCAGATTAGGGGACTTTCAAAATTGGGTGTCAGCTCTTATTACTGGCTAGAAATACTATTAGGGCCAACATAAATAATCAACATACTTCTTGAAGCATTATGCTGTCAAGGAGAGTAAAGCTACCTGACAGACTGAATTTTGCCATTTGAAACTAAACTTGATTGTAGAACCAATAGTATCCTTAAATAAATTAAACTTTATTTTGTGGGAGGAAGAAAAAGAAGCAGAAGTGAATGGTGGCTCTAGAGATATCATTTGCAAGGGCAAAGATCTAACAGCAGCAACCTTGACTTTCCCCCTCTCTGGCAGGGTGTGAGCTCCTAGGAAAGAAGAGCAGTGCCGCCTGAATACTGGGTAGGTAAGGACAGGTGGTGCCCCGTGAGGGGAATGTCTTCAAAGGAGAGGGAAGAACAGCCTGTTACATGTGCCTGGTGTTAAGCTGAAGCCAGGCACCCTCTCATACTCCCAGCTGTCTGTCTACCCATGCCCAGAGGATGCCAGCTGTGCTGGGACTCCAGGAGGTGGCTACGTTGGAGCAACCACCCTATCCCTGTAAGTGTTTGAGGCCAGGTAGGATGGGGATTCGAGCAGCCTTTGAACAAAGGTGTCCCTGGCAGGGGGGAGGGAATGGGATGTTCTCTAAGGTCCCTTCCAACCCATATGGATTCTGTAATCTTGGCGCTTTGCAGCCAGACTTCTCTGCCTGATGGAAGAGATAAGAAGGAGTCAGAGAAGCAGCAGCTGCCATAGCTGCTTTTCCTAGTTGGCTTCCAACCTGTTTCCCACGCTGGAAGCTGATGGGCTGCAGGCCACAGCAACCTTTGGACCTGCTGGGCAGCATTTCTTTCCCGCGCATCTGCGAGCGGCAACGCGGGGACGTGTCCCACTGCTGCCGGGCCAACGCCACGTGCTCACTGAGCTCATCAGGCTGCTGGCTCCCTTCCCAGCTCTGCGACACCAGCTGAGCATCCTGCAGCAGAAAATAGAGGTAGCTGAGCTAGGCAATGGTGAGGGTGCCATCTTACAGGGCGTCTCCACCCACATGCAGCAGGGAGGCAGAATGGGCAGCAGTAGCAGCAGCTTTAATACGAATGCAAATAAAAGCTCTGGAGTGTTATTAGTGTAGAACCTTTCCAGGGAAACTGTTTAGAATAGCTCCCATATGCTCAGCCTTGAGCTAGCTTACTGTGAATAAGATTCATCAAGCATCTTAATGGCCTATTGCTCCCTTGTTATGTGAATGGAAAGCAAAAAAAGGAAATTTGTTCTGGTGGGTACAAACTCATGTAAGCCCATACAGCCTCTGCTGTATCAGCAAGTCTCCACTTCCTTGCCACAGAAAGCAACAGCAACTACTACTAGTACTGTGTGTGTGTCAGAGAGGAGAGGACTGCAAATGCAAACCAAGAAAACACATTTGTTCAGGACACCAACTTCTTACCTCTGAAATGGCACAGCAGTAACAAACCTGGCTGCCAATGAACTAGCTCAGGCAAATGAGATTGAAAACAGTGAAAAAGCTGTAGATGAAAATCAAGGGGTATGGTCCTAAAAACCTTAGCCAATCTTATGCTTGGGGTTTTTTTCTGTGACTGCCTTACATTTCAGTCTTGCTGATGATCAACACAGCATCAGCACCTACAGCACTTACAGGCTCCTGAATGCCTCAGGAAGAGGACTGGTGATTGTAAAAAGGGTGCACAGCAGTAGGGCCCTGAATAACTCAGAAAAGTTACAGTGAAAGAAGTTCCTTATTTTGAGACATGAAGACCCATCAATTCAAGTCAAAATGAGGAGTGTGAAAGAAGGCAGACTGCCTACTGACTGTCTGCTTACAGCTCAAAATGTGGAACTCCAGCCAAGGCAGACTGAAGGGTGGTAGGTTGGAGGGGGATTAAAGGTTTGCATGTCTATCTGTAGTTATGTTAAATAGGATTAACAGATCCAACCACTAACTGGTGGGGGTGGGGGACACAAAAAGCATGAAGGTTGCTCTGCAGCTGTCTAGAGGGTTACACACTCCTTTTTCTGAAGAAATAAGCTGTTGGCAGGGCTAAGCAGTAACATAGCCAAGCTGCTCTGTCCTGAGCTGCAGTGTTTGCATGCCAGCAAGATCATTTATTTCCTTTAATGTGAGGCAAAGACCAGAACTCTTTCTCCACCTGCCTGCACACTGCAATGGAGATGCAGAGGAGTTTCAGGACTAGGAGATTCTCCGTCCTATATAAATTCAGCTGACACATCTGCTGCACCTGGAACTCACTCCTGCCATTCCTTCAAAGGGTGTGTGTGTGCAAAAGAGAGGAAGACAGCAGCTGAAGGAGAAATGAGAAGTGCTCACTTGGAGAGCACCTCTGTAATAGGGAAACTGGAGCTTGTGGGTGCAGCCAGCTTCCTTCTTTTGGTGACTTCATTCACTTCTGACACTGCATGACTGCACTGAAAATAATGCAAAGGCTGCAATACCTGGGATACCTGAGCAGTCAAAATAGTATTGCCTAGGTCAGGGGACTGAATTTCTCTGTTAATTCACAGCGCCTGAAGCATTTCAATGAGAAAGTCAGCAAAGGTGAGCACTTCTGGACCAGCAAGAGATGTGCATGGTAAGACCCCAAGATGGCCTTTGCACTGGAAATGAAGTGTAACAAGAGTTTATGTGTAGCACGGCACGGCAAGGCTGTGAATACAGCAGGACAGTGGAAGGTAGGATATCCCCAGAAGCTACTTGGACCATACTGAAAAAAAACTAGTATGCACAAGATGGAAATTATGCCTATAAAAAGGACAACAGAGGTACTTTTTTTGGTTGTTGTTATTTTTGTTGTTTTGTTTTTTTTCCCTAAGGCCTAATTCTATGGGAAGATAAAAGAAAATTGGTATTATTCTGGCCAAAAATGTATATATTCCCTACCCCCCAAAAAAGGCTATGAATGGACTACCACTGTGTGAAACTGCATCAGAATAAGCCACATTTTCTTTCTATAGTCCAGCTTGGGAGCACTGGAGGAGCATTAATCTCCCGAAGGACAGCCTGTCCTTGCAGCTATTTCTGGGCTTTCTGCCAGGGCAAAAGCTATTTGAAAGACTTTGTCATCATTCTTTCTTCATTCCCCAACACTGCAGCTGTGGATTTATTTTTGTAAGCTTGCTGCAAAGCTGCATCTGATTCTCCACACACGCATGTGAAGAAGTTGTCTGCAGTGATGGCTTCCCCTTTTCCTTTTGAAAGAGAAGTGTGTGCACCTGGGTCTCTCTAAAGGCAGGGTGAAGAGGAAGGTAGTTATAGATATTATGATAACAGCAGAAACAAGCTTATGAGAAGGGACTTTGGGAGCAGTGAACTGTAAGAGGTTGTTTGGTTTTGTGGGGAAATATTG